CTGCGGCCGTTCAGTGCCGGCAGCAGCACTCAGGTCTCCAACGCCCCCACATCCTGGCACCGAACTCTCTGGGGTTCGGGTGTGGCATCCCGCATAGAAAGGCAGGGTGACGGCCACGCCCGGGGCCTGGACCGCGGGCACGGGCATCAGGGCATGCCCCTCACAGCCCGGAAGCGCCAGCTCCGGGGTGCCCCTCGGCCCCGAGACTCCCGGCGGCTCTGGCGTGGACACCGCCCGTGCGTTAGCCCCGAGCCTCTGCGGAAACACCTTCTTCTGGACCTGGCGCCCAGGAGAGCAGGGAAGCTGGGCAGCCCCCGGGTCCAGGCCAGGACCCCACCCCAGGGCGTGCCTGACTCTCGGCGCTTAGCCAGGGCCGTGTGTCCCCGAATCCCACGAGCCTCTGTGGCCCCTGTGCTGGACAGCCAAGGAAGGGTTATAGAACTCCTGCTGGGGTGAACCCCTCTGCACCCCTCTCTAGCTCCACCTGCCCCCCAGCTGCAGCTCCCCCCGCTCTCCTACAGCCTGGCTTACTGACCTGGAAACAGCTGAGTCTCCATGGGAACCTCACCCCGCAGGGCATCCCCACCCGAGCCCCGTGCAGCCACCCTGCTCCTTGCAAACCAGCAGGAGGCCGGGAGCGGCTGGGAGGGGCGCCCTGCACCAACAGGCCACAGTAATCCTATTAAAATATTAATCCTCCATTAGCCGGGAGCCCAGGCCGCACTGAGATAAAGAAGTAACAAAAGCTACAGCCACTGATAAAGTGGATCTAATAAGCCCCGCTGTGAGGGAAGTCGGGTCAGCACCAGGCGGGCAGCGGGCAGGCGCGGCCAGGAGGGCGAGGTGACATGGCGAGCCCTCCTCTCACCCGAGCAGGGGAGGTCCCATCGCCGGGCCCCTGCCCCCCCAGACTGGTCTGCGGGGCCCACAGACGAGGGAGCCCTCTGGGGCTGCCGCCTGCCCCCAGCACAGCCCCACACCAACGGCTCAGGCCCACCAGGGACACGGGCACGAAGGACCCAGCCGGCCGCAGACCAGGGGCTCGGCCTGCCCCCTGAAAGTTCAGCACAGTAAAGGGATGGAGGGGTCCAGGCAAAGTTTCTGACAAGCAGGAACTTTATGGCGCCCCCGGGTGAGGTTCCTGGACCCCAAAGAATAGAGGTCAGAGCAGTTGCGCCCACTGGGGGACAAGAGCAGGCTTCCGCGGGCATCGAAGTTGCTATCTTTACACAGTTACGTAAGGTGGCAGAGCGGGTGGCCAGAGTGCAAGAGGCAGCAGTTTTAAGTTCCACATTCCCACCTCCACCTCGCCCGGCCTCGACCTTACACCCTCAAGATAAGAGGCTGGCAGCCCGTGTCCCAGTCTCTCCCCGCTCGGGCAGAGTCATCACCTGTGTCCCCATGTGGGAGGCGTCATCCAGACCCCTCTTCAGGCTTTTCCCTCCAGCTACAAGTAACATAGATTTAATGCAACCCCCATTAAAATTCCAATGCTAATTTTTTCAAAGCAATGGAACAAAAATACTGAAATTTATATGAAAAAATAAAGACCCCAAATAATTACAGCAAAACTGAGAAAGAAGAAAAAGAAAAATGGAGTCATCTTGTTACCTGCTTTTAAACCATATTATAAAGCAACCGTAATTTAAACAATATGGCATTGGAATAAAATTGGAACCGAACCTAAAGCCCAGAAATAAAACCATGCACGCATGGACACCTGATTTATGATAAAGGAGAAGGTAAAAATCTCAACAGATGATGCTGGGAAAGCTGGTCACTCACTTGCGAAAGAGTGAAACTGGATCTTCTCTAACTCCATACACGGACATTGAAGAGGATTAAAGACTGGGAGACCGGACCATAGACCACCTAAAAGAAAGCATAGGTGCGGGCCCTCCCTGGTGGCGCAGGGGGTTAAAGCACTGCACTAAGAAGCTTAAGCCACTTCCACATGAGTTCGATCCCCGCCTGCCCCGGAGGTGACCACATGGCAGCAGACCTCTCCTGGCCCACCCGCTGCTCCCCCCAGCAGTGTACCTTGGTCATCTGCCTGTTCTCTTCCCCACTCTGTCTCTGGTGAAGCCTCTCACCCTCCGCATCTCTGGCCTGTACCCCAGTTCTGTATGAATAAATAAATCTTTAAAAAAAAAAAACAAAAAGAAAGCATAGGTGCTGTCTTCCATGACGCCTGTGACAGACACCCCTGGGAACCCCACCCCAATGGCAAGAGCAGTAAAAGTCACAATGCACAATCAGAACTACATCAAATGACAAGCTCCTACACACTGAAAGAAAACACTAGCAGGTGAAGTCAGCGCATCGGCCCACGGGCGGCCGATCTCCAAGGTACACGGCAAACTTCGACAACTCGACGAGAGCAGTTTTTTTTTTAATCAGCAGGTCTGAACAGATATGTCTCCAAAGAGGACAGATACGTGGCCCACAGGTGTATGAGAAATTCTTGTCATCGCTTCCGTGACGGGAAAGGAGAATTAAAACCGCGGCAAGATCCCAGCTTGCCCCTGGGCGAGTGGCTCAGGGCACAAGCCCCAGGACCCCTCGCAAGCGCTGGCGGGATGTGGGGGCGAGCGGCGGTACCCGGTGGGGGGGGACGAGGTGGCAGTCCCGCCCTGTGCCGCAGCGACCGCCCTCCTGAACTCCCTCGGGCGCCCCCCACCCACCGCTCCCACGCTGGGGGCAGCCAGCCCCCAGGAGAGCTCCTGGGCAGTGACGAGGACGGGGACGGAAAGCAAAGCAGCGTCACGAGACTCACACAGGGGAGAGGCCGCCACTGCCACAGAGCAGCTGTAGGAACTAAAATCCTGGGCACCAACGCCCAGCTCCAGGGTCCCCTGGGGAGTGTCAGGAGCAAAGGCGAAGGTGAAGATAGGGAGAGCGAGGCACCTGGGAATTTCCTTTCAAAGTCTACACAATTATCAAAACCCGCCACAAGCCGCGCTGACGGGCGGCGCTGGCCCTGCCCTGGCCGGCGGCCTCCCGCTGCTGGGCCTGAGCGGGGATCTTTCCCCCACGTGCCTGCGCCCCCACAGGGCAGCGACCCCTGCCGCCCGCCACCTACAGCTGCCGGGGCTCCCCCGCACTGACCCCTAGCGGGGGCCGCTCCCCCAAGGCCCTACTCCTGCACTCTGGTCCTCAGGGAGTGACCCCTCCCCACACACGCGCCCAGAGGGGAGGAGCAACCGGCCTGAGGACTGGGCTGGCAATAAAGGCAGAGGCTGAGGCCGCGATCAGAGCCTCCCGCTGAGACCAGGTACGTGGCAGTCCTGCCTTCAGTCCCCGCGGGGCAAGGGCAGCCGTGACCCTGGGATTTTGCTCCTGTGCAGGAGCCCGGCGGCACCCAGGGCCACCATGAGACGCCTCACTGTCCTGGCCGCAGCGCTGGCCACCCTCCTGGCGCCAGCTGCGGGGGGGCCCGTCCCCAAGAAGGGCTCCCCCCGGATGAAGCTGCTTCTGGTGTCCTTTGACGGCTTCCGGTGGAACTACGACGAGGACGTGAGCACCCCCAAACTGGACAAGATGGCCCTTGAGGGGGTGAAGGCCCGCTACATGACCCCCGCCTTCATCACCATCACCAGCCCCTGCCACTTCACCCTGGTCACAGGTGAGCCCGCGGGAGGCGCTGAGACCAGGGGCCCAGGGGAGGGTCCCGGGAGGCTCCACAGCCCACGGCCGGCCGGCCCCCCGCCTCCTCCCGCCCAAGACTGCCGCCCGGCGCACCCCGGGGGTCTCTGGGCGAGCTGTGGGGGACACCTGAGAGGCGGGAGGGCGGCCCTGGCCTCCTGGCCCGGCCGGGGCTGTGCAGGCGGAGCGCAGCGGGGTGGCTCCCGAGACACCGGCAGCCCCCGCGCCCACCAGCCCCGCGTCTTCCGCACAGGCCTCCCCTCCTTTGCTGGTGGGGACACCTGCGGGGGGCACCCCAGTCCAGAGAGAGCTCATCTTAACCTTGCCTGTTACGCCCGCCAAGGCTCTATTTCCAAACAAGTCCCCACTCTGGGGCCGCGGGTGGACCTGACCCTGGGGGGACGCTCAGTGCACCCCGAGCCCACGTCCTGCGGGCACGCCAGCTCTTCCGCCACGGTCACCTTTCACTTGACCTAAGGGACACACCTGGACCTGCTGTGATTCGCTTCAGAAAGTAAATCGAGTGTCCTCCGGGCCAGGAGTCCCCTCACAGGACTGTCCAGGGGCTGTCCAGGGGGCCGGCGGTGGGCTCGCGCCTTCGCGCCCACAGGCGGGCGACGGGAGGCCGGGAGGGGCGGATGTGGCCCTGAGCCCCGGTCCTCCCGCCAGGCAAATACATCGAGAACCACGGCGTGGTGCACAACATGTTCTACAACACCACGAGCAAGCTGAAGCTGCCCTACCACCCCACGCTGACCAGGCAGTCCTGGTGGGAGAACGGCAGCCTGCCCATCTGGATCACGGCGCAGAAGCAGGTGAGCCCGCCTCGCCGGAGGCTCGCTGCCACGCTGGGGGGCGAGGGCAGGCTCTGCCCAGGCGGGACCCCCACCCGGGGGTTCCCACCGGCAGGCCTGGCCTCCGGCCAGCGTCAAATGGGCTCTTCCAGGTGAGTCCAGCACAAACTCGGGGGGCTCGGCCAGCTCCCCGCCAGGCCGAGTGCCCTCCTGCTTCCTCGCCGGCCAGGGCAGAGACCCCTGGGGTCTCCGTGAAAGGCTGGCTCGGGCGGGGCCCAGGGGGCCACAAGCACAGCAGCTCCAGCTGCGGAGGACAGGCGGCCAGGCGGGGGCTGGAGGGCGCCGGTGGAGGGACAGAAGGACGCAGGCCCAGAGAGGGGGGCGGCGCTGGGCGGCGAGCCAGGCGCTCCCGCTCCCAGGGAGGGGCCCGGGGCCGCGGGACAAGGACTGTGCCAGCCTGAGGCGTGGCCGCCTGTCATCTCCCGGGGCGCCGAGCCCGCTGCCATCGCCTGTCACGCCGCG